AAATAACTCTTTCTGTGAATTACAAAGCACCTCCCTTCCCTATGTAATGGGGATGAGGAAAAGGGGAGGTGTTTGTTGTCCCAATATGGAGAGCAGCAAAGGGTGACACTGTTTCTTCTCCCTAAATAAAGTAAAGTGAGTGAGCATTGCCACCCTAGGACAGTAAGGGGCCGATTTATAAATCTTCCACCCAGCATATAGATGGGCGAATGCCTTCACCAATACTAGATGGCACTGAAGAGCATTGGGATTTCTTGTGCTCCTTGGCTCCATCTAGTGGCTGTAATGCCGTTAGAATTGCATTCACCCATTTATAGACTGATATTTATACTGAAGATTTATAAATCAGCCCCTAAGTGTCTTAGAATCACTGTCTAAAGATAAAGGTTTCAAAGCATGAAAAAAGGAAACTAATGCATCCATCACATCTAAAAACAGCTAAGCTGCAATATATTACATTTTTGCTTTTGGTTTGGATACACTTTAACCCTGCAGTAGGAGAGAATTTGACTGACATGAGCACTCCACTGCTAACAAAAGCTCTGAAATTGTAAGGAGATTTTGGAAAGTACACAGTGCAGAGGATAAAAACAAGGCGATAGTAATCAATCACCCTTTAACCATAAGGGTGTGCATATCTTGCATTATGTGTTATATTACCTAACACTGGCGTTGGTACCTAGATAGATTCTTCTGAATCCTGTCTAGAATTCTGTGGGGTTCTACTGTTATACCAGAGAACACAGTTCAATGCCATTAGTGCAGAAAAAATACCAAATTGTTTAATTAAATGTTCTAGATAAGAGGATGAGAAGCAAACAACATCTCTCCTGGTTTGTATGCTGAAGTATAAGTATGACATTTATTACCTTTAAGGATAATTAGCTCATGACTGCAAAGTAATTTAGAATCATTTCGGATTGATGACGAACATTGTACTGACAGAGTAATTTACTGTACGTACCTCCACACAGGGCACGTGAATGCAAGGTTTAGTTACTTAATTAGATAGAGGATAATCAAGACTACTAATTATAACAAATGATTTATTGTTGACTGTTGAACAAGAATTGCCTTGGTGTAAAATGTGAAAATACTGAAGATTGGGGTTTTAGAGATGCCGTTATGAATTTTTTCTACGACTCTATTTGAACACATCCTCAGGGAGAGATCATGTGACAGTCAAAACATATCCTAAACTGTAAAGAGAATCTCTCACTCTGCCCATTAAAAGCAAAGTGACAAGTCCTTGTGTAAGAAAAAAACCCTTTGATACTCAAATTTCACGTGCTGCTATGTGGCTCCTTTGGAGCCTTCCTTTAATACACTGTCCTTGGTGGTATGAAGGGGCATGTACTGCTTATGTCTGAGTGGCCAAGCACCAGGATCAAACACTGTCATCTGATGCAGAGCAGGAAAAGTTTAACATTGTATAAGTTCCAACACAAGCTTACACAGAGTTAGTACTTAGAGAATTGGTGGTGTGGTGAAGTATGGGTAAGGTGATTATCAGTTAGTGGAGTTTTTTCTTACAAGAGGACCTTCAACTTTGCACTGAGTGTGCAAAGTGACAATCTCATCTCCTCTCTAGACTAGGCCTCAGCCTCTTCTATATCTTTCATTCAGGTCTCTGGTTGTCACCTTCACATTCAGAGCTAACTGGATACCTTCAGATCTTAGGCTCCTTGGCTATGGAGGTTCTAAGGGTATCTCAATCTTCACTTCCAAGGAATGCAAACATAGAAAGGTTCCTGTGTATGACCAAAAAAAATAAAAATAATAATAATATTAAATATAGTCCCCACAAGGAAATAAACCAAATGAAACTAACACCTTTTTTATAGACACTGTTTCAAAACCTTTTTTGAACCCTAAATGCTGTAAAATCTAAAAGCCAATCTTTGTAATGCATGAATATTGCTGACTCGTGGTAATATGACTGTTAAAGGTTTGCATTCTTACACTGCATACGGAGGGAGTACAGATGAGATTCACAAAGCTTAAACAATGAAAGGAAATCCCAACCCAAGCTTTTTATATCAAATGGAAATAGTCTCCCTTGTAAGCCTCTAAGTGGCTACGTGCATTAAAAATACCTTACTAAGGCACCAAACGTACAGCTATCTCCAGATAACACACAATTATTTTGATAGAGTGCTTAAAATGGCTTATACATTTTTAATTGTAGTTTGTCCAAAACATTCAGTAATGACTTAAGTCTGATATAATCAGTATTCACTAATGACCTTGTCAGTCACAAATTCATTCTGATATGACTTTGCAAAAAGTAATTAATTGATGGCTAACAAACAGATAAATATTATCAGGGCTATTTAAAGTTGGATTGCCACCTGTCCAGGATTGACCCGGACAGTCCGGGTTTAGAAGGCTGTGTATGGGTTACATAGCAAGTGAGACCTGGACACAACATGCCAGGCAGACTGGAGCAACCAAAATGAATATAGGGGCTACTGGCTTCCCACTGAAAATAGACTTGGCTGTAGGGTTGCCACCTTTTCTTCAATTCAAACCCGAAACCAGATGGCGTCCCTGGTTACCTGGTAACCAGGGGCGCTGATCTGTCATTACTCTCCCGGACACTCTGGGAGTCTAATACGGCTCCCGGCCGCCCAGGAGAGAAACACTTTCTTCCGGAAAGGTTTACGCTGCTTGATCGAGCAGAGTAAACCTTTCCTTGCGATCAGTTTTTTTTGTTTTGTTTTTCTTCTGACATGGATCAGAAAAATAGGAATGCATTGGATAGGAATACATTGCTAGATTCCTATTGGCTATTTCACTTTGCAATAGCCAATAGCAAACTAGCTATAGCACCCGCCCACTGCTGCTGTCAATCAGCAGAGGGGGACCTGCAGTTTTCCATCAGACCCCCTCTGGTTATTGACAGCAACAGAGGGCGAGTGCAATAGCTAGTTTGCTATTGCAAAGTGAAATAGCAATAGGAATCTAGCTATGCATTCCTATGGTGCTTTTTTTTTTTTATTCGGACAGCAGCAGAACCGCCCAGCCAATAAAAAAAAGTTGGGCGGAGCCAGCTGTCACTGGCAGCTCCGCACAATCGTTTTCTATTTTTTTCTACATTGTTAACTGTTTTTCAATTCTGTAAGGGAATACAGAGGTACCGAGCAGAATAGCCGAGCCGAATGCCGAACACAAAGAAAGCATGACCAACCACCAAATATAGAGAATAAGATTTGTGGAATTAATAGTGCTGAGGCTTTTACTTCCACATATGCTTTACAAATGCTTTGTTAGCACTGAGGCATGCAGGGGTTAGGACAAACTATAATACTGCCATGGGGCTTTCAATGGTTAGTTTTTATTTAAATTATTTAAATTATTTAAATATTCCCTAAAAAAAAAGGTTGCTCAACTGTGGAAGCACCCCTGTAATGTAATAGTTTGTCTATAGCCGGGCCACTGTAAATTTTGATGAACAGCTTGGCCTGCATGTAAACCTATGGCTGCATCTTTGCTATTGAGAGATGTAACTACTTGTTGACAGTTATCTGATTATGACTATGTTTAGTTCAGTATGCTGCAAGTGAGATGACTTCCATTAAGTGATTAAATCTCTCAGTAGTAAAGGCAATGAATTGCTTGCAAAGAGCATGACCGTTGCTGAGAGCTGTTGTTGGAGTACTGTAAAGAGGGCATGTTGGACCATTGAACTCCAAGTGAGAGCAGCAGTCTGGCTCTCCAGCATGTTTCCAGCACCGGACAACTTTTGTTATTTTAATTACAAATACATTATAAAAAAAACCAATGCTTTTTATTTGTTTTGCAGCCTGATTACATAACATATCTATAAAACAAGACTACTCTTGGACTCTAATGTATTCAGTCCTGGAAGTGCTTTTCCTAGAAATGGGTTTTAAAGGGAAGAAGCCTAGAATTCCATTATTCTCACAAAAGGTAAAGTAACATGGGAGGATTCTATATCATGTTAAAGGTTCTCTATGTTCCCATTCTGCAAAATCTCTCTCACTTCCTGCCCCAGTGAAAATTGCGGTTGATGGACAGGAAAATAGGGGAAGTCCCATTAATGGAACTACAGAAATAAATAAAAAAACTGAAATCTGATACTGCCATCTACTTTTTAATAAACAATTTATTAATTAATTATAGATTACATAATGCCAAATGATTGAGCGAAGGATAGTCCACAAGTCAGAGCGCAGGATGGATGAGGTGAACGCTCCCCGAAGTACAAGTCCTTTACACAAGTACCCTAGACATAAACTTGCCGATAACCCTTGCAGTGTGGGGGTAGTCCTATTGCAAGGAAACTTTTTTTTATTTTTCGTGGAGATGGACTTATTTTTACTTAATTTTAACTTGATAGCTTAATTTGACATGAAGGAAATACTGGGCACTTACTGACTCATCTTGTGGCTTCCATGGCAATGTTATTTCAGGAAAAGTAGGGTTGCAGGTCTTTAGCAAATACTGGTTGGGGGCAAGGCAAATATTATTATGCCAAAATGAATATATAAATGAGTGGAAACTGTTTTTATATTCAAGAACCATGGCAGGGGGCAGGAAGGGGGGAATCCTGGCTTGTACAGGTGATCTGGGTGGCTGTACAGCTGTCTGAAGCGGAGGGGGGCTATGGCTGGAAGTGGATGCACCGACCTCGGAGGCCGGTGTATGCACTGTCGGCCGGATGTAAACCAGTGCAGGTAGATGACTATGTTCCGGACAGAACCGCCACACAGTCCATTAAAGAACTGTGGTCAGCCGTTTAGTGGCCACTGCTTTAAAAAATATACATACTGCTGGCAACTGTAAAAAATATGTAAATACAGAAAAGCGTTATGGTGTTGTAGCCTAATAAATCACTGCTGGGTGAAAAGTTTTCTACACCAGGATGTACACTAAGGAAGTTATTTATTTAGCTAATGCAGTAAACACTCTATTGCAAACTTTCACGCTTCTTACCATTCTTCGCATCAAAATACTGTATGCAACATAACAATTATTCTATTGTCACATGGAACTCAGGAGGGTGAAACATTGAGTTACTGATAGAAGTAAACATAACCAAAGCATATCGAAAAAAGACTATGGAATTGTGCATTGTTTAGAGTCAATTCAGTGCAAATGGAAATGACGAGAAGGAAATTGTTCTATGTCTCAGGAACTGTGTGCAGCCCTCAGATAAGAAGTGACTTGTTCGTTGTGAGTAGAAATGCAGGAAGTGTGCTCCAGTCATATTTCCTTTGACACAAGCAGCGAGCATTAGGGATGTAGACCATCTACAGTCCACTGCCACGAAAATTCAGATACATACAAAGCTCTTGCATGATTCTATTGGATGTACTTGTATTAGAGATCCACATTGGATATGGGTAACATCACAGTTTATCAAAACATTACATGCGTTAACACACCGAAGAATGTCACCTGCGAATCGATGTTTTCAAAACCTTTTTTTGGTAAGAATAATGATTATTTTATTTTTATTATTTTATTTTTTATTATTGATTGTTAAGACTGTATAGCAATGTCCTGCTTATCTGGTGTGCTATAGTCAGATTGTAATATAATTTTTACAGCTACAGTCTGATAAACGACATGTTATATTGTTTATATTGCTAAACCTTAGACAACCTCACATGTGGCCAGAACTTTTCATTATATTTAATTGGCCAGTGAAAATGTGAGTTGCTGTCCATGCTTATGAAAGAAATCAATAGAGTGAATGTTTTTGTTCCAAAAAAGGAGGTAACTTCACTGATTAGCCATTTCAATCTAATTAATAGATTGAACTTGGGAGGCATTTCGGGAAAATATAGGATGAAATCATTTTCTTTGTCTGTCAGTCTCTCTCTATGTATTACTCATGATAGCTTTGCATAAACTATTACATAAAATAATATGTTTTATTAAATATAATTCATATATGTAAATTATTTTAATTTCCCAAAAGAATATTTATAGTTCATATATAATCTATGGAGTAAGTCCTTGTGTAACTTGTGTGTGTGTATATACTGTGCATATATAGAAATCTATATAGATCTAGATATACATAGATGTCTATATATCTATTAGATATATATATATATATAGTAAATATAGTGCAGACACAGCAAGATTTACATTTGTAAGAGCATTAGTCAATAATAACCTCCATGGATCAAATTGAAGTGAGTGGAAGTGCAGTGTATAGAAATAAATAGAATTTGCATTCACTTTAAACATCCAATCATTTGGCAATATGATACACTATTGATACGATATGATACAATGTGATACATATGATTGGATGTTTGAATTTAACAAAGATTCACTTCACTTTGCTGGACCTGACCTCACTTTACGCTTTAGGCCTGATATGTTTTACTGCTGCACAAATAAGAATATTTGGTCTGTTGAGACTACTTTATTATTTATAGTACCTCATAAAATCCAGTGGTTAAAAGAGATATTTATTTGTAAAGGAAAATGCAAGCTTTGGGACCGGGTAATAAATCATCCCAGATAACACCAGATAATACAACTCTTTCAGTTTACTTCTGTATATAAAATGTCTGAAATTATATTAAATGTTAAAGTACACCTTTCATGAGAGAAATACGAAGACCACCATTGCTGATTTCATTGTTAAAATGTCAGTTGGCTGGCTGTCATGCTGACTCACTGGCTTTTATACCTTAAATGACTGAACTGGAACAGGTCAAGAATGGAAGTATTGGAAGTATTTAGATCAGGGAAGTCAATATCTGCATAATTGTTCTAGGTCAGTGATTCAAAGTACTGTAGAAAGAGGATAAGCACGACAATCAGGCAACTAGCATTTTAAGCAATGCCAGCCTCCATGTGTCTCTGATGAAAGGTTTCTTTTATGTATTGTGATCTGGATAGAGCTCAACCCATATTCATATTTGCATGGTAGGCCTCATGGTCAGAAATTTTATTGCAAATTTTTTTGGCATGTTTTCTGTCAGAATCGCTTTTTTGACAGTTCAAAAACAGTTCAGTCTTATTCAGACATAAATAGTGTAGAATTAATTGCATTTTGAACACATTTGAATTAACATTCATGGTTGCTTTTCACCACAGGAGTAATTTCCTTAGAAAAATACTAAAACAATCTTTTAAAATGTATTTAAAACCAAATACAAGTGGATTTTTTTTATACTTGTTCCAACTTTTTATTTAGAATAAAAATATGCATGGTATTTAATATTTGTTACCAGGATAAAACTGTATAAATCATTTGGGTGCAACAAACCAACCCGAAAGGTATTGCTGAGTTAGTTGACGCATACCATCAGTGCACCATGTAATCTGGTTGCAAAGCTTTTGATCACTTCTTGAAGGTCTGAAGGTATTTATTTAGAATGCAATCTTTCAGACAAACATTCAGTTTTTTACATCAGATCAAGAGCTGCAACCTAAGGCAACTTAATGCTCTATGCTCTGACGGGCCCGTTATAGTGGGTAGAAGTTGCCATACACACGCAGCACTTGAATGGTGAAAACACATTCCATGGAGGTAGGGCTGTACAGTATTTCCATAATGGCACCAGTGCCTAGTGCAGAAGGTTTGAGGAAGCAGCACCAGACCTCTAAATGTAAATTGTGATAACTTTTAACTTATTTTCACTGCTCTGGTCACCTCTGGATATATGTGAGTTAATGCAGCAACAGAACTGTATGGGGAGAGGCTACAGGGGCTGTAAAGAGGAGTCCGAAGTCTGTTAAAAGTTCTCAGTTGAAATTAGTTAATCAGCAATACCCAAAGCCAGTCTTTTCCCTGCCAGTGTGCTCCTTGATCGCCAGGCCCCACCTCCCCCATTGTGAAGCCCCACCTCCTCAATCGCTGGGCCCACCTCCTCCATTGCTGCCGATGAGGGGCCCAGCCACCGATTCAGCAGCGGCTGTCAGGAGGAACGCGCCGCAGCAGATATGAATTCTCAGCGCATTCCTCCTCACAAACGCCAGTGACAGCTAGCAGCCTGAGATGCCATAGCGATCCAGGCGGCCCGCACGGGATCAGGGCGACGTCCTGGCCGGGCCCCCCTGTGCCTTGGGCCCCATAGCGGCCGCCCGGGTCGCTATGGTGATTGTTACGCACACTGCTCCACAATCAGCAAAGCTCATACTCCCTGCTGAATGAAGAGCTCAGGTTCAACAGTGGGAGTGATGGACCTCCTACTGAGAGATCACTGCTTTCAAACTGAGAGCAAGGACCTTACTCTGCAGCAGGCTGGCTTTTCTATTGAGGAATGGACTGCAAGACAGACTTACTTTTTGTTTTGATGTAACTGAAATGCATTTAGCTGATTAAAATGGAGAGTTCAGTTACACTTTAAACCATCTCTCCTTTCTCTGGATTGGGTGTCTGTAAAGTTATAAAATATCTGTGAATTTAATGTGGACCCCTTTGCTGCCCCCAATAGTGCATGTTCATTAGTTTGCACTAAAATATTTCCATGATTCAAGGAACAAAGCTTGTACAAATGTAATGCATGATATCTAAATGATGGCTTTTATTGGAGGTACAGCCCTTCAGTCATAGTGACCCTTGAAGCATCTTCATAATAACATGTGTCTTGGATAATGCCAAGACACACAACATAGGACAAATACACACCAAACAGTTATCAGCTAAAATGCCAAAATAACCATTAGTGTGAAAATGAAAGTGGAACTCTAACCAAAAATCTTAAGCTCTGGATAGGGTTAGAAAGGTGAGAATCTTTCAGGTTTTTGTTACTGTCTGTATTCTTGGTAGGACAATTTTCCCTCATTTCCTGTTCCAGAGACAATTGGAATGGTTCACTAAAGGAGTAGAGCATGTTCACTTTATAAGGGGAATTTTTACTGTGGGCAGAATAAAATTAACCCTTGCAGTTGGGCTACTGCTGCGCTGCTAGGATTATGTGCTTGTTTTGGTCTAGGGTCTAAAACAACAAAGATATGCTCCCCTGAACCACGGCCCTGCCTGGATGCCTAACCGCTCCCTGCACCCTCTTCTTCCCCTAGGCTCCAGCAATCTATGGACCCCTGAGTGAACACATTAAATAAAGTATATTTGCAGTGAGGACGCTGAGGGATATTCCATTGCTGGAATGGAGGGAGAGTGAGGCTGCACGGACCAGACTAGCAGCCAGGCGGGAGTATCAGGTGAGTATAACTTTGTTATTTTGGACCCTAGACCAAAGCAAGAACTTAACCCTTATAGTGCAGGGGTAGGCCCACTGCAAGGGTTAAGTTTTATCCTGCCTCTTTAACTTAGTGAAAGCTAAGTGAAATTTTACTTTGCAAAGAGTACCCAATCATGTGCAAGAAAAAAAAATGGCTTCACCTTATTCAATAGGCTTTGGTGAATGAGGTGAAGCGATGCTGACTTTTTTCATCCATTCACATGCATATAATAATCTAGCAGGGTTATTCACTAAAGTGTGAAGAGTTTGGAGAAGGCAGGAGAAGTGAACAATCTAGGACAACATAACTGATTTGGAAAAATTCTCCAATTCAGCTCACTTTCCAGTTCAGCTATTTTGTCCTGGATTGTTCACTTCTCCTGACTTCTCCAAACTCTTCACCCTTTAGTGAATAACCCTGTAGGTTTTTAAAAATTTCCCTTGCATGTGAGCGGGTTTTCAAATTGAACAGAGCTTCACCTCATTAACTAAGCTATGTAAAAGTTTACTTTGCAGAGTGAATATCGTATACTACTTTAGTAAATCAACTATATTAGAGGGACAGAGATTTAGGGAAATCTCCCCTGAATGGGGCCAGACAGCAACAAAAAGCTGCAGAGGTCCAGGATTCTGACATTTTCACCATCCCAAACTAGCCATAAAAACCACTGTACATAGTTACATAGTCAGGTTGAAAAAAGAAACAAGTCCATCAAATTCAACCTATAGAGATATAAAAAAAAAGAAGAAAAGCTTAAACAGAACGCTATGCCCACAATTACCCACTGTTGATCCAGAGGGCAAAAACCCCTATAAAGCCTGGTTCAATTTGCTCCTACAGGGGAAAACATCCTTCCTGATCCCATAAGGCAATTGGAAATTCCCTGGATCAACAATCTTTGGTGCTTAATATACCTACAGTATAAGAACCCAATATCCAGTAATATTCTGTACATTTATGAATACATCCAGATTTGTTTTTTAAACAGTTAACTGAGCTAGCTAGAACTATCTCCTAGGGGAGTCTATTCCATATTTTCACAGCTCTAACTGTGAAGAATCCTTTCCATATGCAAAGCTTAAAACTCTTTTCCTCCAGACGCAAAGGGTGCCCCCTTGTCCTTTGCAGTGGCGTTAAAGTGAATAATTTGGCACCAAGCTCACTATAGGGACCATTTATGTATTTATACATAGTGATCATGTCCCCCCTAATCGCCTCTTCTCCAGAATGGTGTCACTTTGATGTAGCTAAATGTTGCTAAAAATACTCATTAGTTTTA